CTCCAGCAGTTACTCCAACACATACTCTGGGGTCCCCAAGCCTTGACTCTTGCCAACCTGCGCCTAATACTTTCCGAAATTAAGTAAACAGGATATGTCCCTCCAGGGAGAGAGCGCATTCCATTCCACCAATCTATCTCTGGAATTTCCATGTGTAGGTGGGATGCATGGAAATCTCAGCTTGGTTTGGATAAGCATGTTGATGGGTTTCCGCACATGTCAGACACCCGGCTGACCAAAAAAAAAGTCAAGCCACATGCTGGCCTATAAAACACACAGTCACTGCACTTTACAGTAATAGCCTGTGAACTGCTTTGAGACATTCTCCTGACGTGAAAGTTGTGGTGTCAAATGCAAGGGTGGGTATTTTATAATAATAATCCTTACATTTGATATAGCTCCTTATCACATTGTTGAGGCATCCCAAAGCGCTTCACAGAATATACTGTAAAGTGAATTGTGTATTTTGTGGGCGAAACACGGCAGCCAATTGTGCACAGCAGTGTCCCACAAACAGTCATGGATTGAGTGACTAAATTAATTAATTTAATTAAAATTGTTCGTTCCTTCCTTCCTTACTTATTGAAGGGATTATTACCCTCAGAAAGCAATCCACCAATTATTAGCAACCGGGTTTCTACTTACTGCTAGGTAAGCAGAGGTGTGTGGAGTAAGGAAACCTGCCTAATGTTTCGCTCTGCTCGGAAAACAATCTCGAGTCTTCTCAATTGCAAGGTGAGTGCTCTAACCATTACGCTACAGGACTCCTAAATTTTTTACACGAGACAAATAATTGGCACAACCCAATGTCCTAATTACTAACCTGTAATAAAGTGTGGCACAACTAACGCTGAGTTGAATTGCGACATTATGTAAGGTTACTGAGCACGGGACACCCCAATGCTGGTCGGATTATATAACATCAGAATTTGTATTACAGTTCAGTGATTTGCCAGCACACAGCCACAAACGTCCCCAAACACCACAGGAACCCCAAAGATAAATGACAGCCTTGCAATCGGAGTTTGTTCTCGACAAAACGTTAAACCAAGATTCCATCTGTGCCTTTTAGAATCATAGAATTATACAGCCCAGAAGGAGGCCATTCGGCCTGTCATGTCTATGCCAGCTCTTTGAAAAGAGCTATGCAAATCAATCCCACTCCCCCGCTCTCTCCCCATAGCCCTGCAAACTTGTCCTCCCCAAATAATTATCTACTTCTCTCTTAAAAGTTGTTATCAAATCGCCTTCCACCGGCCTTTCAGGCAACGCATTCCAGATCCCAACAACTTGCTGCATGACAAAATTTCTCCTTACCGCCCCTCGGTTTCTTTTAACAACTATTTTAAATCGGTGCCTTTGGGTTACCGACCCACCCGCCAGTGGGAATAGTTTCACCCTATCGATTTCCCTCATAATTTTGAAAACTTAGGAAAATTTCCTCTTAACCTTCTCTGTCCCAAGGAGAATAATCCCAGCGTCTCTCGCCTCTCTTGATAACTGAAGTCCCTCATTCCTGGTACCATACTGGTAAATCTCCTTTGCACCCTCTCCAATGCCTTGACATCCTTCCTAAAGTCTGGTGCCCAGAACTGAACACAGTCTCTCGCTGAGGCCTAACCAGTGTTTTATAAAGGTTCATCATAACTTCCTGACTTTTGTATTCAATGCCACTTTATAAACCCCAGTATCCCGTATGCTTTTTTAACAGCTTTGTCTACCCGTCCTGACACCTTCAAAGATTTACTGATATATATCCTCAGGTCTCTCTGTTCCTTCACCCCCTTTAAGATTGTACCATCAGCTTATATTGCCTCTCCTCATTCTTCCTCACTTCATATTTCTCCACATTAAATTTCATCTGCCACGTGTCTGCCCATTTTACCAGTCTGTCTATGCAGTCTGTTTGCAGTCTGCTACTATCCTCCTCCCTGTTTACGACTTTTCCAGCTTCGTATCATCTGTAAACTTGGAAATTGTACTCCCTATACCCAAGTCCAAGTCATTTACATAGATCCAAAACAGCAGTGGCCCCAATACCGACCCCTCGGGGACACCACTGCTCAGTTCCCTCCAGTCAGAAAAACAACCGTTCACCACCACTCTCTGCTCTCTGTCTCCCACCCAGTTCTGTATCCGTTGCCACTGTCCCTTTAATACCGTGGGCTTCTATTTTGCTTACATGTCTCTTATGTGGCACTTTATCAAATGCCTTTGAAAATCCATATAAACTGCATCAGCTGCACTACCTTCATCCACCCTCTCCATTACTTCATCAAAAAACTCTTATCAGGTTTGTTAGACATGATTTGCCTTTAACAAACCCATGTTGGCTGTCCTTTATTAACCCATATTTTTCTAAGTGAAAATTAATTTTGTCCCGGATTATAGTCACTAGACGTTTCCCCACTACTGACGTTAGTCAGGCGCCGACACCATCAGCATCCACCTCTCAAAGCCAGTCAGGAACCTGGGCGTTTTGTTCGACCCTGAGCTGTCCTTTCTCCCTCACATCCGCACCACAACTGGCACCGCCTTCCATCACCTCCGGAACATCGCCAGACTACGGCACTACCTCACCCCTCACGCTGCTGAAACCCTGGTCCACGCCTTTGTCACCTCAAGGCTGGACTATGGGAACTCTCCCCTCGCCGGCCTTCCCGCCACCTCCCTCCACACTGCAGGTCATTCAGAACTCTGCAGCTTGTGTACTGTCCCGCACCAGACACCGCGACCACATCACTCCCACCCTCGCTCGCCTCCACTGGCTTCCCATCCCCCAGAGGATTGATTTCAAGATCCTCATCCTCACCTACAAGGCCATTCACGGCCTCGCTCCCTTCTACCTCTCTGACCTACTATCCCCCTACTTACCTGCCCGTACCCTCCGTTCCTCTGGCTCCGGTCTGCTCCACGTCCCCCGCCCCAACCGCCCTACCATCGGTGGTCGGGCCTTCAGCCTCTCAGCCCCGAGGCTCTGGAACTCCATTCCCAGTACCTTCGCCGCTTCCTCCCTTTCCTCCTTCAAGGCCGGTCTCAAGACCTTTCTCTTTGACCGTGCCTTCAGCTCCCCTCTCGACTCTCTTCCCCCTCCTCGCTCCCTCCCTTCCCTCCCCTCACCCTGACCATTTCCCCCCTCCTCGCTCCCTCCCTCCCCTCCCCTCACCCTGACCATTTCCCCCACTGCTCGGGTCATGACCCAACTGTGCAGCGCCTTGGGACGTCCTCCTGATGTGAAAGGCGCTTTATAAATGGAATCTTGTTGTTGTTGTTGTTAGGCTGACTGGCCTGGAGTTCCCGGGTTTATCCTCCTGCCCCTGTTTGTACAGGGGAGTAACATTTGCAACCCTCCAGTCCCCTGGCATCACCCCGGTGTCCAAGAAGGATTGAAAGATCGTGGCCAGAGCCTCCGTTATTTCCACTCTTACTTCCCTCAGTAACCTAGGATGCATCCGGTCCAGATCAGGTGACCTATCTACCTTGAGCATCAACAACCATTTTAGTACCTCCTCTCTGTTTATTCTTATCTTATCCAATTTCTCTCCCCTCTCCTCCGATACTGTGGCATTGGCTCTATCTTCTTTTGTGAAGACAGATGCAAAGTACTCAGTCAGTATGTCTGCCTCCACAAGAAGATTTCCCCTTTGGTCCCTAATTGGACCCACCCTACCTTTGACTAACCTTTTATTCTTCAGTCACTTCATGGCTGTTCAAGGGACACTGCTGTGCATAAATTGGCTGCGGCGTTTGTCCACAAAATACGCAGTTACTACATTTCACAGTGAAATCCTGTGAAGCGTTTTGGGAAGTCTCAATGGTGGCAAGTTGTTGGTGGTGGTGACGTGTTGTGGCACTGTATCAGAAGCGACGATGGTTACTATGATAGTTGGATGATGGCCAAACTGGCCTTTGATTGCTTGGCTCTGCTCTGTGCTGTGACAGTCGTAATAATGCTGTACCTTCCATCAGCTGCTTGTGGACGGCTGAGCGGAGGTAGCGGACGGCAACATTTAAAGGCACTTTCCGTATGAAAGCCACTCGGTGCCATCTAGTGGTGCGGCACCTGCACAACGCTCACAACAACAACAACAAGATTCCATTTATCGAGCGCCTTTCACGTCGGGAGGACGTCCCCGGGCGCTCCTGCGTTTGGTAAGTTTAAAGTAAGTTTGTGCCCAACTAGAAATCCTATTTCAATCAGAAACCGATTGGAGATCAGAGCGTCAGACACCACGGAGGGGGAGGGGGAGGGGCTGTAGTGATGGGGGATTCTGTGCCCACTGGGCCTCTGACGGGGATCGCTCGGATGGATCTATTGCCGAGAGCATCGATTTCAAGATCTTCCCACTTCAAATCTCTTCGTGTTCGGGCACCTCCCAACCGCTCCAACCTGCTTGGCCGCCCCCCCCCCCCCCCTCCGCCCCCAACCCCCAACCCGTTGCCTCTGACTGACAGGCTCTGTCATGTCCCTCGTGTCCTCCGCTCCACCATCGGCGACTGCACTTTCAGGCCCTGGAACGCTCCCCCTCTCCGCCTCTCCCCCTCCCTCCGCCGTGACCCTTCCTTCCCCGTCTTCAGGTTCGCATCGGAAGACCTTCCCCTTCGACTGTGCCTACGGTCACCGGCCCCACTGTCGAGCCTCTGGGACACTGCACTGCGGGAGGAGCGCTGTGTAACTGCACTGCTGTTGTTATTGTTCTTTATTGTAATCTTGTTGTTGTTGTTGTTTATTATTTCACCACAGGGGGCGCTGTGACTGCAGTGACCGCCTGGGGCCACAGGGGGCGCTGTGACTGCAGTGACCGCCTGGGGCCACAGGGGGCGCCGTGACTGCAGTGACCGCCTGGGGCCACAGGGGGCGCTGTGACTGCAGTGACGTCCTGGGGCCACAGAGAGCACTGTGAGCGAAGTGACCGCCTGGGGCCACAGGGGGCGCTGTGGTCTCGGAGTGACGTGCATAGCCGGGCGCCGGAAGTGACGTCCTCGGACGGCGCCGGGGGCTGTGCGAGCGGAGGGAAAGAGTAAGATGGCGGCGCTGCCGGGACTCGCCACCTCGGCCTCGTACAGCGGCGGCGGCGCCGCGGACACCCAGGGACCCCAACTCCTGCCCCCGGACAGGGGCAGAGAGGAGGCCACAGGTGAGGGCGAGGCCGGGGTCGGGGCGGCGGGGGGTCGCTGTCAGCGGGGACGGGGATTGGCCTCAGCCGGAGCCTGAACCTGCAGCTGCCATCATTCCCTCCTCCTCCTCCCCCTCCAGTAAGAGAGGCTCTGAAGCGCCACCGAGGAGATAGATTCACATCGGTCTCATCGCCTCCGCGCTCCCAGACGGCCTCACACTTACACAGAGCCCCTCACGGCGCAGGGTCTCCGAGCGCTTCCGCAGTGGCGGAGCCTGACTCCGAGCTGGGGGTTGGGGGCAGGTGACCGTCAGCACAACCGAAGGGGAAGGTCTTCAGGTGTGAAGGTCTGAGAATGGGGAAGGAAGGGCCGAGGTGGTGGGGTCGGGGGAGAGAGCCCATAGTTGCGGGACGGAGTGGTTGGAAGCGTAGCCGCCGATGCTGGAGCAGAGGGACGAGGGACGTGCAGGAGACCAGGACCAATTGCTGCTGTGGGATCCGCATCCATTGCGCTCTGTCTCCTGCTCTAAAAGCGCTTTGAGGCGCTTTGCAGGAAAGACTATTTAAGCGCAGTATTGTTGTCTCGGAATTGTGCCGTCAAGTGGTAGCACCGATTGCTTCTTTATTGCAAACTAAGAATCCTGGATGTCATCAACCCTTTTATAGGCAAGGGATAGGGTTCCAAACTAATGTCGGTAGATTTTCAATTTAATCGTCCTTTGGTCTTGAAGGACCCTGAAAAGGTCATGTTGCATTACCCAAGCTGTTGGTGGACTGGTTAATGTTACCTCACCATCTGGGCTGCAACTGCTCTCTGGAGTCCCCCGAGGTTGGTACACGCTGTAGTTGCCAACATCAGTTGTGTTGCAAACAATATTCCATTTCAGCATTGAGTATTGACCTCCAGGCAGCAGTTGATGCTTTGTGGTATTCAAATATTCCATACAACACTGAGAGCTTTGTGTACAGCCCTAGTATCCACTTCCGGTGTCCATTTACACATCAGTCCTGAGATCGTGGGACAGGCAGAGCTGAGGTTGCAGATGAAGGAAATAATGAGAAGCATCGGGAACTGAGATGGCAGTGAGCATTTCTATTGTAATTAGATTGTGAGTGGTATGTCAGAGAGAGGATTTGATAATGATCCTTACGTTTGATTGGAATTTTTCATGCTGTGAGGATACCTAATAGCACTTCACAGGATTTGCTGTGAAGTGTAGTGACTTTGTGTTCTGCAGGTGACAATATTCAACAGAGTATTTGCTGTCATATGAAAAGGCATTCCACATTGCTGCAGTATGAATTGTACAACACAATTTGAAATAGAAATTCTTCCACAGCTTGGAATATTAGCTACTTCATCTTAAAAGAAATCTGTATGATTTGAAAATAACTGATCGAGTTTATTTCAGTGGAAACCTGGATTGGGGTTCAGGTGATGGTGATAAACCATTTGACATGTTTTCACGTTATTCCTTGTTACTGTAAACCACATGTGGGCCGTACTGTCCTACATCATAATCTATGGAAGGACCAGAAGGATGAAAGGCTAAGTAAAGTTGCAAATGTTAAAATCTTGTTTAGGCCTTTTAGCCACAGAAATGTGTGTATGTGTAGCAAAGATTAACATTTGTAAGAAAGGAAATTGAGGTATCAAAACATTATGAACAGAAATATTGACAGATGTATTGGACGAGTCCGCAAAATCAATTTCAAGGAAAAAATATATTATAATAATAATAATCCTTGCATTTGATATAGCGCTTTTCACGTCGGGAGGACGTCTCAAAGCGCTTCACAGAATATACTGTAAAGTGAATTGACTGTATATTTGTGGGCAAACGCGGCAGCCAATTGCACACAGCAATGTCCCACAAACAGTCGTAAATTGAAAATGACCAATTTATTATTGTTTTGGTTTTGGAGGGATTATTATTAGGCTCTGTGTGGAGTAAGGAAACTTGCCCAAGGTTTCGCCCTCTGCCTGGAATTGAACTCAGGTCTCTCGCTTGCAAAGCGAGTGCTCTAACCACTGAGCTACAGGACTCCGATAATGTATTACAATAATGTATTTATATACTAGTTAGGTCTACTCGTTGCGGCTACGCTCGCACCCAAAGGTTCCAGTGTAGATTTCAGTACTATTTGTTAAATTATATTATTATATGTTATTATATTATTACTTTACATTACTATTCTTATACTTTATATAGTCCTGTAGCTCAATGGTTAGAGCACTCGCCTCACAAGCGAGAGACCTGGGTTCTATTCCCAGCAGGGCGAAATGTTGGGCAAGTTTCCTTACTCCACAAACCTCTGTTTACCTGGCAGCAAGTAGAAACCCAGTTGTTAGTCGATTGGCGAATTGCTTTTCCGGGGATAACAATCACTCAAAAAATAATAATAATAATAATTTGGTCACTCAACCCACGATTGTTTGTGGGACACTACTGTCCGCAGTTGGCTGCCCCGTTTTGCCCCCAAATATAGTCAATTCACTTTACAGGTATATTCTGTGAAGCGCTTTGAGACGTCGAGAAGACGTGAAAAGCGCTATATCAAATGCAAGGATTATTATAATTATTATATAACGATAGGAGATTCCCCCCAAAAACAATTACCATGTTTTTCTCTTTTGCTATTTTGTTGCAGGATATATTTCTAGAACAGTGTGTGATTTCCTCTGTCGCTAATTTGTTGGAGGGCATACCTCATATTTGGGGGCTTACAACAACAACAACAACAAGATTCCATTTATAAAGCGCCTTTCACGTCAGGAGGACGTCCCAAGGCGCTGCACAGTTGGGTCATGACCCGAGCAGGGGGGAAATGGTCAGGGGAGGGGAGGGAGCGAGGAGGGGGGAAATGGTCAGGGTGAGGGGAGGGAAGGGAGGGAGCGAGGAGGGGGAAGAGAGTCGAGAGGGGAGCTGAAGGCTCGGTCAAAGAGAAAGGTTTTGAGACCGGCCTTGAAGGAGGAAAGGGAGGAGGCCTGAGAGGCTGAAGGCCCGACCACCGATGGTAGGGCGGTTGGGGCGGGGGACGTGGAGCAGACCGGAGCCAGAGGAACGGAGGGTACGGGCAGGTAGGTAGGGGGATAGTAGGTTGGAGAGGTAGGAGGGAGCAAGGCCGTGAATGGCCTTGTAGGTGAGGATGAGGATCTTGAAATCAATCCTCTGGGGGATGGGGAGCCAGTGGAGGCGAGCGAGGGTGGGAGTGATGTGGTCCCGAAGCCTGGTGCGGGACAGTACACGAGCTGCAGAGTTCTGAATGACCTGCAGCTTGTGGAGGGAGGTGGCGGGAAGGCCGGCGAGGAGAGAGTTCCCATAGTCCAGCCTTGAGGTGACAAAGGCGTGAACCAGGGTTTCAGCAGCGTGAGGGGTGAGGTAGTGCCGTAGTCTGGCGATGTTCCGGAGGTGATGGAAGGCGGTGCCAGTTGTGGTGCGGATGTGAGGGAGAAAGGACAGCTCAGGGTCGAACAAAACGCCGAGGTTCCTGACTGGCTTTGAGAGGTGGAGAGTGCAGCCTTGGATGCTGATGGTGTCAGCGCCTGAGGTGCGGAGGCGCTGACGTGAGCCAATCAGGAGGGCCTCGGTTTTTCGCACGTTGAGCTGAAGAAAGTTGTCTCTCGTCCAGGACTCGATGTCGGACAGGCAGCTGTCAGGACATCGGTGGTCGTGGAGTTGAGAGTAGAGGAGGAAAGGTAGAGTTGGGTGTCATCCGCATACATGTGGAAGTTAACCCATGTCTGCGGATGATGTCACCAAGGGGGAGCATATAGAGGGTGAAGAGGAGGGGACCGAGGACAGAGCCCTGAGGGACACCACATGAGACAGTACGGGGGGTGGAGGAGAAGCCATTCGTCGAGACAAAGTGAAGACGGTGAGAAAGGTACGACCTAAACCATTCAAGGACAGTGCCTTGAAGGTTGAGGTGGGAGGACAAGCGGTGGAGTAGGATAGCGTGGTCGACCGTATCGAATGCTGCCGATAGGTCGAGGAGGACGAGGAGACAGAGGGAGCCCTGGTCACAGATGGTCAGGATATCATTGGTGACCTTGACCAGGGCAGTTTCTGTGCTATGGGCAGCACGGAAACCTGACTGAAGGGGTTCGAAAAGAGAATGGGTGGAAAGGAAAGAGCGCAGTTGGGAGGCGACAACTCTTTCCAAGACCTTGGAGAGAAAGGGGAGGTTGGAGATGGGCCGGTAGCTTGATAGCTGCGACGCATCAAGGGAGGGTTTTTTCAGGGTGGGCGTGATGATGGCAGTTTTTAATGGAATGGGGACAGAGCCAGAGGAGAGGGACAGGTTGATGATGTCAGTGATATGTGGGGCAAGAAAGTGGAGCTGGGAGATAAGGAGTGGAGTGGGGATGGGGTCAAGGGAGCAGGTGGTTGGTTTTAGGGATAGGATGAGTTCAGTGACAGAGGGTGGGGAAACGGGTACGAAGGTGTGTAGGGGAGGATGGGTAGGAGTCGGAGTGTGGGAGGGAAGGGGTGGGTGGTGGGTGGAAGTTGGAGGGGAAGTGACCGCGGAGCGGATTCCCTTGATCTTGGATTCAAGGAAATCCAGCATCTCCTCGCAGTGAAGGTTGGAGGAGATGACCTGCGCGGGGTGGCGGGGGGGACGGAGGAGTCGGGTTGTGGTGGAAAACAGTAGCCTGGGGTTGTTCTTCGCCTCCAGGATTATCCTGGAGTAGAAGGACGACTTGGCCGAGGCTAGAGTGGAGCGGTAAATTTTGAGGAGGTCCAGCCAGATTTGTCGGTGGACCGTTAGGCCAGATTTGACACAGGTGCGTTCAGCAGCCCGCACCTGGCTTTTCAGTGAGCGGAGGTGGGTGGTGTACCAGGGGGAGGAGCGGGAGTAGGAGACAGTGCGGGAAGTGATGGGGGCAAGAGTATCGAGTGTGGAGGAGAGGGTATTGTGGAGGAGGGAGAGAGGAGAAGAGGGGTCGGTGAGGGTTGAAGGCCAGAGGGAGAGGAGTTCAGAGGACTCCAAGGCATCGGTTAGGGATTGTGGGGGTAACTTCTTCCAAGGGCGGTAGAAGATGGTGGTGGGTCTGGTGGAGGTGGGGAGGGGGGTGGAGGTGGTGAAGGAGATGAAGTAGTGGTCAGAGATGGCCTTGTCGGTAATAGTGACATCCGAGACACTGAGGCCCCGGGTGATCACCAAATCGAGTGGGTGGCCGTGACTGTGAGTGGGGGAGTTTATGTGTAAGGAGAGGTTGAGTGAGGAGAGCAGGGAAGAGAAGTCTGTGGAGATGGAGCAGGAGGGGGTGAAGTGTAGGTTAAAGTCGCCCAGGATGATGAGGCGATCGGAGCAGAGGCAAAGAGATGTGAGGAGTGTTGAAATGTCAGAGATGAAGGTGGGAGAGGTTTTAGGGGGCCGGTAGAGGAGGAGGATTTTAAGGGAGAGGAATGAGGGGTGGGAGAGGGTGAGGTGCTCAAAGGAGGGGAAAGAGCCAGAGGAGTAGGGGGATAGGGCAAGTGGTGTCCTTGAGATAAGGGCAACACCACCGCCACGGCGGTTGGGGCGGGGGATGTGGTGGGAGGTGTAGCCGGGTGGCGTGGCCTCCGTGAGGGGGAAGGTGTCGCCTGGGGTGAGCCAGGTTTCTGTCAAGGCCATGATATCAACGTTCTCATCAAGGATGAGATCGTTGATGACCAGGGCCTTGTTGCAGAGGGAGCGGACATTTTGCAGTCCGATGTGGAGGGAGCGGTTGACAGAAGGGTGTGTGGGAGGGGAGGGGGGTCCAGGTTGTGAGGCAGGGGTGGGGGGAATGGGGATGAGGGAGGAGAGGTTGACTCCCCGGGTCTGTGTCCGGGGTGGGTGGCGAGTGTGGTGGGGAATGGGGCAGTCGGTGTGGCTGCTGCTGGACAGCCAACGCCGAGTGCCGCGGTGAGCCCGGCGGAGGATTCCCAGACTGGAACAGAGGGAGGTTGTGGGAGGGTCAAGTGGGGATAGAAGACGAGAGGGACGGAGAGAGAGGAGGAGAGAGCGGGAGAGATGCAGAGGGGGGAGGGTTTGGGGGGAGAGAGGAGGGGGGGGGAGGGAGGGGGTGAGGGGGCTCGGGTCAAAGCGGCAGCCATAGTGCGCACGCGGGGACCGGGAGCGAGCGGTCAGGTGGATGGCATTATCCCGTAGATTGGGGCAGCGAACCCAACAGGACCATAGTGGGCTCTGATGTGAGCCCTGGGGGGGGGGGAGGGGGCGCAGGGTTTTTTTTTTTGTGCGCGGGGGGCGCACGTACCTGAAAACTAATCTATGACGTCGCAGTTCCCCCGCTCCGTCCCCTCCCCTCGCTAGCTGAACTCGCTCCGGCGTCGAGTTTAAGTACCTGGGTCAGTAGGCCCAGGCTCCTCCCCGCGCTGTCCTGCCGCCGCTCCCCGACTGGCTTAATTAGAATCATAGATTTATACAGCACAGAAGGAGGCCATTTTGCCCATTATGTCTGTGTCGGCTCTTTGAAAAGAGCTATCCAATTCAATCCCACTCCCCTGCTCTCCCTATAAACTTGTCTTCTCCTAATTGAAGCATTTTTTAAATATAACTCATCAACGATAGGAGAACCGCGAAAAAAAAATGTCCTTGACACTCGCACGTGCAAGACCTTTCCACTGAGGTATAAATCACATCTCTACGTCAATTATTGAGATCTTGGCTGACACCCACACACGCACACACTTGTTTTATTAATATAGATGCACAGAGTAACCCCAGGAACAGCAGCTGGTCGGTGACATCCAGTATTAGTAGAACAGAGTGTGCCAGGAAACAAATCTTTGCATAAGTCTGCCACAAAGCTAACTGGAATAACGAAGACCTGATCGGCCGAATGGCCTCCTCTTGCGCTGTAAATTTTCCATGATTGTAAATATGTACAGCACAAAGTGGGAGCAGTGGGAGCTTGACTCTGTGTCTTGATGTACTGGATGTGTTCCTACTACAGCGTGTGGGATTACGCCACAGGTTCAGTTGTTCACTGAGAGGAGTGTGAAAACAGTCGGATGGCCTCCCGAAGGAGGGGTATGTGAGAGTCATTCACTTCTTGGCTGTTTGTGGGACGTTCCATTGCTCAGATTGTCCTCCATGTTCACCTGCAAGAAACCCAGTCACTTCTTTAAATCTTCTGAAGCACTTTGCGATGTCTTCCTGATGTGAAAGGCACTAAATTAAATGCAAAGATTATTATTAGTTTCGCCCACAAATATACGGGCAATTCACTTTACCGTCTATTCTGTGAAGCGCTTTGAGAAAGCGCTATATCAAATGCAAGGATTATTATTATTAGGTTTGCGTACTGAAACTGACCTCTGAAGAAGATCAGGATTAGACCATCGCTGATGTGAAGATTTGTTTGCTGGAACATTCTGCGCAACTAATACCACCTGTCACTTATCGGATGCTGGAGTGTTATAGTTGAGTGTTATAGATGTATAGTGTGCTGTGGTAGGAACATGTCCAGAGCATCAATATTTAGCGATTTTAAAAAAAAGTCCGAGGCTTAATTTAGATGCTGCCAATTTTGTGAAATAATAATAATTTTGTCCTTGTATTCTGTGAAGCGATTTGAGACGTCTCGAAGGCGAGATAAGGGGCTAAATCAAATGCAAAGATTATTATATATTAGATCTTGTAATTGTTTTGAAAACAAGTTTACCTGAAAAGTTTTCATTTCCTTTTGCTGTAGTTGGTTTCAGATCTTTTTGTTTGATGTGTGTGAACCCTGAGGGATAACCAGCTCTCAGAATTCCTGCATGATAGAACTGGATGCCTTTACTCCCGGCTGATTGAGCAATTGCACAATGTCAACTCTATTAATTCAGCTTCCTCGCACATTCTGGCTTCTTTGAATGGATTCCACAGATCTTGTAACCCCTATGGTAGATGTTTAACAATCTACATTGTTACTGCCCCGTTTGTCTACAAATACACAGTCACTACATTTTACAGTAATTCTTGTGAACCCCTTTGAGACATCTCGACAAAATAAGGCAAGGTAATATCAAATGCAAGGATTATTATATTTGCGGCTTAAAGAGAATGAAGGAACCAATGGTAGTTTAAATTATTTTTTTTCCCTCCTCTTCCTTTTGCAGAAGCCGAGAAGTTGAGCAAAATGAACTCGTTGCTAGAGAAGTTGCACACAAAATACAGCCAGACAAGACCCTGGACTGAGTCTGCCAAGCTTGTTCGACAAGCCATGGTAAGGTCTTAGATTTCAGGCCTTCTCTGGTATTTCTCTGTCATCTGACTCTTAAGACAGCAGCAACCCAGGTATTGATGCGTGGTGTTGGGTTAGCAACTAAGTACAGACAAAGCTCCATCTGCAATGCATCCATAGGGATGTTTCAAGCTCTTAACATTGGAGGCCGAATAATCTTTCTGTTCCAGACCAGCTCTTGCTGAGGGCGTTGGGCATGTGGCGTTGAATTGTCAGCAGATTTGTTCTGTTATGTTCTTATGTGCTGCAAACGTGAATTTACTAGAACCTGAGTGGAGTCTGCTCAAGCGAATTTGAGTTGGGACTTTTGCCATGTGCTTTGTAAGTCTCTTTTTCTATCTAAAGGTATTTACTGGTGCTCGGGTAAGATTCCAAGGCACCACCTGATCCCTGATCCTTCCTCCAAATGGCCACTGTTCACCTGTGAGTCCACAGAGAATTGGGATTGCTCTCACACCCAGCACCACTGCAGTTATGAGCCAGTACTTCAGGATATTTAGGCTCCAATTCAAAATGACTTGTCATTGTGGTGAGCAAATGGAGGTTTATGTTGGCCAATGTGTCAGTTGTACTGCAGCTTGTTTTCCCGGGTGTGGGACTAATGCCATTTATGTTTTTTTTATCTTTTTAAAGGAAAAACGAGGTATAATGAACACTGGAGGCCATCAGCACCTTATTGCCTGCCTAGAGATCCTGCAGAAAGCTCTGAAAGGTCAGTGAGGATTGGGTGACTGGACTCAACTCAATCCTGTGTGTGTGTGTGTTTGCATACGCTTAGGGAACTGTATGTGTTTCTGTCTGTGGCTCTGTGTGTGCATCCACAGGGGGGTGTATGTGTGCCCACAGAACTGTGGTAATTCATATTCAGTGAGGATTCAGGAAATGTATGCAGTAAAACTCGCATAAGTCTTAACTCTATAAATCATACAATCACCTAAGTCGTACATGCAACCGAGTACCATTTAGTTTCCTATTAAAACTACTTAGATTTCTTTGCACTAGTTGTATTTATCACCTTCTAACTCGTAATGCCACTCCCCTGTCCTTTGGGACGTCCTCCCGAGGTGGAAGGTGTTGTATCAAATGTAAGAATATTATTGATTATTAACAACAATAACTTGGATTTATGTAGTGCCCTCCACGCCGGACGGCTCTCAGAGCGCTTCACAGCAACAGATCCCGGGACCGAGCCAAGGGGAGGGGGAGAAAGGTGACCAAAGGCGCGGTCGAAAAGAAAGGTCTTCAGCAGAGACCTGAAAATAGGAAGGGAGGGAGCGACACAAAGGGAGTGAGGAAGGGAGTTCCAGAGCCTCAGGGCATAGTGGCTGAAGGCACAGCCTTTATTTATTATAATAATAAATATTATTCTTAATATTGTTTAGTATTCTGAAAACTTCAGCCATCTCTTGTAGTCGTGTGGGATCACTTTAATATGTTATTGTCTTTGTACGAATGGAAACAGATGCAGGCTACTCTCAGGTGCTCAGTGTTTGCACTGTGTGTGTGACTGAGTTCAGCACACAAATCCTTGCTCAGTGCTAAATATTTCCTTTTGTTTCCTTCAGTCATGTCTCTTCCCGCGATGACAGATCGCCTGGAGTCGATTGCCAGACAGAACTGGTACGTGATATTTCCCATCCAAGTGACCGAATGGCTCACTGGACTACTCACCTTTTATCTTTCCCCTTTAATGCTGAATCCTAACATCCCTATTATTTGGCTTTCAGTCTCCGTTCCCATTTGAGCCCTTCTGGTACCGAGTGTTACATTTCATCAGACATGTTCTATGTAGAAGTACAGCTGGACCCTGCAGGGCTGGTGTGCGATGTCAAGGTGGCGCACCATGGAGAGAATCCTGTGGTATGTTTTATCTGTCGCTAACCCTATGCTTTCTCCCTCTGTGAGTCCTGTACACGCAACCGTTGCAATATTTAATTAGTGCTTAATATTTTCCTTTTCAGTTGAAATTGCTTAAAAATATTCCAAGTGTCATTATATGCAATTTGCAGGACTTTTCTAAATCATTATTTTATACCATGTTTGTGTTCCTCCAGAGTTGTCAGGAGCTGGTGCAGTATTTGAGGTGAGCATTTTATATAACAGCTTTCGGGTAGTGTCTGGTTTCAGGTCATCAAATTAAGCCACTATCAATGACAATTTAGTGTGCTATGGGGGGTGGGGGTAGGGGAGTGGGGATCGGCGAGAGACCCTCAGAGAGACCTAGAGAAGACTACTTGTCTGATTTGTCTCCCGCTTTGTAGGAAATCCCACAACTTCTGCTCAGGCCATGCTCTCAGCAGAGGTGGGAATTAAACCTAGCATGCAGCTGCTCCGTAACATGCCAAGCATCAGTGTCCTGCCGGGAGGAATTGCTGCTGAGAATTTGAAGCAGTAAAATGCAAAATTCTTTTGAGAATGTTTTGCCTGTGATTTCTCTCACGCTGTCTTGCCTTTAAAGTGGCTCATTCCTCCTAATGAAAGCGTGACTGCTTGACTCTTGCAGAGAGAAGAATTTTGTGGAGTTCTCGAAACACCTGAAAGGTCTTGTCAACCTGTACAAAGTCCCTGGAGATGAGTGAGTATCGCTAACAATTTCACTGCGTGCGAGAAGAGCAAAATCCCACAGCTACAGCATTTATACACGTAGGATAAGGTCTGGGAGCATTGAGTAACTTGTGTTAATGCAGGCTGGATTTTGTTCATCAAAGTATGTTTTTAAATAAGTTCATAAGAGCTACGTTTCACTGTGTGCAGGATTAATGAATAGGCTCACGGTATAGACCACAGGCTTTAGTTGTACAGAAATCTAATCCAATGGCTTTGTGTGGCACCCACATATAGTCAACATGTGGGTTGGCTTCATTTAATGTGATTTTCTGACAGGATTTGTTTTAAGTTTTGATTGCTTGAGTTTCTACATTAAGCTGCTTAGAAACTCAATGGATCATGGATGCACCACTTAATACTAAGTTGTCTTAATATGAAGGTATTATTAATATTTTAATGTTAATACTATCTAAATGTTGACAATTAATATCCTTAAAATTTACATCGATACTAAGATCACATTATTAAAATATACCTCGTATCCGGTTTCCTGTTCCCTAGAACAGGACGTTCCAGACATCTAGACATTGTTAGCAATGCTTAGCCTTAGCACTGAGGTGTACAATTTCTGGCGTTCTTTTTAAATGCAATTTTTCTTATACTTTTAGATGGAACAAGAAAGGAAAAATAAGGTGCAGACTGTAAATATTGTTTGTTTTCAATTTTCTCTTCTCATTATCTTCCTCTCTCTCCGTCCGCTACAGTAAACTAAAAACTAAGATGTACCTGGCGCTGCAATCCCTGGAGCTTGACCTGGCGAAGATGGCTCACATGTTCAGGTAAATAATAATCATAATCCTTGCATTTGAAACAGAGCCTTATCAAGTCTTCGAGACGTCTCAAAGCGCTTCACAGAATATATTGTAAATATACTGGGACATCCTCCCGATGTGAAAGGCACTCTATAAATGTAATTTTGTTGTTGTTGTAAAGTGAATTGATTGTATATTTTGTGAATGAAACCCGGCAGGCAATTACGCACAACAGCGTCCCACGAACAGCGGTGGATCGTGTGAACTTTTTTTAAACAGAAATTGTCCCTGGTTCAGTTCTGCCAACTCACAGTGAGATTAGCCTGCTCGAGGATTAACATTTTAACGATTCAACACTGGTCTAAGTCAACGCCTGATGAGATGCGTTTGATTTCACTTGAAGGCCAGACAAAATCATGTGGGTGGGTGGGTGTGACCGCCACTATTTGCAGAGCTTTCCCCCCACCCCGCTCCCCAGGCTTGACACTGCAGCACAGTGATTGGATTAACCCCGCTCTCTCCCACACTCCAATTTGCTGCAGATTTACTTGGTTGTTCGCAGGAAGTGACCTTCTTACTGACTCAGAGCACTGAAGTAATCCATTAGTTCCACTGACACCTATGCAGGACTGACTGCTTCCACTCCAACCCGACCACCTTATTGCTCTGATGCTACTGGTGTCATTTTGCGAGAAGTCTCACTCTTGGCCAAACCAGGAGTCTTGTAGCTCAGTGGTTAGAGTGCTCACCTTGAAGCGAAAGGACCTGGGTTCGATTCCCGGCAGGTTGAAACCTGAGGCAAGTTTCGTTACTCCACACACCTCTGTTTACCTAGGAGTAAGTAGGAGCAAAAAAAAATGTGTTCACGACTGTTTGTGGGGACACTGCTTTGTGATTGTTGCGTTTCGTCCACAAAATACACATTCAATCCACATTGCAATATATTCTGTGAATTGCTTTGAGATATCTCAACGACGTGGTAGGGTGCTATATCAAATGCAACGATTATTATTATGATTCTTATGAACTGTTGTCCGAATTTCATCTCATAATCACGATAGTTTGCACATGTCTCCTGTTGCTGCCAGGCCTCTGTATGGGAGCAAGCATGCTCGGCTTCATTAGTTGTAGGAATACTGTCTGTATTCATGGTCATCGGGCTTTCACTTTATTTGTTGCAGATTAGCATCAAATGCAAGTAACCTTGATATGGTTCTACAGGGGAGCGTTGGCTATCTGACCTCGAGGAGTGGTGGTATGTACCTTACAGTATTCAACTTGTGCCGATTACGGTTTAGCATTCGGAAAAAAAAAATTGCACTTTTTAATGGAACCGTATTATATTGAAATGTCTATGAAGGCGTCAAACCGGTGATTACCTTCGAGCTTAGTAACTGTCTATTGTAGCAATCGAGACAGTTCATTTGTGTGGGCAAAGTCACGGAAAACAATGCGATGAATGGTCAAGTCATCTGGGAAGATTGTTGGCTAGGATAGCTCCCATCGTTCTGTTTTTTCCAAAGTCCTGGAGAGCGTCGTTGCTTCCCAGCTTCACTCCTTCCTCTCCCGCCACTAACTTCACGAACCCCTCCAATTGTGTTTCCGTGCCGCCCACAGCACAGAAACAGCCCTGGTCAAAGTGACAAATGACATTCGGTCCATCTGCGACCAGGGCTCCCTCTACCTCCTCGTCCTCCTTGACCTCTCTGCTGCCTTCAATACTGTTTACCACTCCATCCTCCTTCACCTCCTCTCCTCTCACCTCAACCTTCATGGTTCTGTTATTGACTGCTTCACATCGTACCTCTCACACCATCTCCACTTCATCTCCTCAAACGGTTTCTCCTCTAGTCCCCGCACCGTCTCGTGCAGTGTTTCTCAGGGCTCTGTCCTCGGTCCCCTCCTCTTCAATATCTATATGCTCCCTCTTGGTGACATAATCCGCAGACATGGGGTCAACCTCCACATGTATGTGGATGACACCCAACTGTACCCCTCTGCCTCCATCCTTGACTCTAGGACTACCACTGTCCTGACAGAATATCTGTCAGACATCAGGCCCTGGATGAGAGCTAACTTTCTTCAGTTGAGCGTCAACAAGACCGGTGCTCTCCTGATTGGCTCCCGTCAACGCCTCCACACCTCAGGCACTGACAGCATCACCATCCATGGTTGCTCACTCCACCTCACTGAGCCAGTCCGGAAACTTGGGGTCTTGTTTGACCCTCAACTATCCTTTCTACCCCACATATGTGCCTTGGTTCGCTCTGCCTTCCCCCATCTCTACAACATAGCCTGGCTCTGCCACTGTCTCACACCACAGGTCCACGAGACCCTCACACATGCATTCATAACACCCATGCTTGACTGTGCAAACTCCCTGTTTGTCGGCCTCCTCAATTCCTCCCTTCATAGACCGCAGCTCATCCAGAACTCTGCAGCCCATGTCTTCTCCCGCACCAGGTTCCGTGACCCTATCATCCCCATCCTCCCCAGTTCAAGATCCTGGTCCTCACCTTCAAAGCCCTCCATAGCCTTGCTCCGCTCTACCTCTGCGACCTCCTCACCCCCTATCAATTTGCCCACTCCCAGTGTTCAGTGGGCAGCAGCTTGCTTCACGTCCCCCAACTTGCCCGCCCCACTATTGGCGGGTAAGTCTTCAGCCACTCTGCCCCCCACCCTCTGGAACTCCATCACGCAGTCCCTTCGCCTCACCCTTTTCTGTTGCCTCCTTCAAGACCCATCTCAAGACCCTGCTCTTCGACGGTGCCTTCGATCACCCTCCTTCCCCCTCTGGCCACCACTCTCCCCGATCCGGACTGTCCAGCGGCTTGGGATATCCTCCCGACGTGAAAGACGCTTTACAAATGTAATTTTGTGTTTTTCAAGTGTGACTTGGTTAAGCATCTCGCTCAAAAGATGGCAGCTCTGACAATGCAACCCACCTCCCCTGCGTTTCCCCCCCTCACCCCCCATAGTTCCCTGAGTGTCAGCCTAGACCAATGTGGTCCAACAGGCAGCACACTATCCACCAGGGGCCCGACAGGTGATTTTATGCATCCGGCAACCATTTTCAACCTCCTTTCCCTACCTCTGTGGTGAATGTCCTCCCAGGGGAAGAGGGGAGATAGAGGAGGGGGGGGAAAAAGAGGGGGCAAAAGAGAGAGAGGGAAGGGAGAGAGGAGAGAGTGTATGTGTGAGAGGTAAGAAAGGGGGAGTGAGAGAGAGTGATTGAGTGAGGGAGAGCAGAGGGTGTGAGGGGGGAGAGTATGAGAGGCAGAGAGAGATTGTGAGGTGGGAGGGAGTGAATGTGAGGGAGAGGGGGAGAGAAAGAAATAGGGGAGGGAGATTGAGAGAGGGTGATTCGGTGATTGGATCCATGGATGGTGAAGTTACCTTGGGGCACCTTCAGGATGATCTTGGGCGCACGATCACCTCGTTAAATGTGAACCTTCATTCCTGACAGGACTCAAGAGTAAATATCCTTGTGTTTAACGTTACAGGTCACCTGATGAACTTGAAATATTATGTGTCTCCGTACGACCTGTTTGAAGAAGGAAGAGGATCCCCTATAAACTTGAATGAAAGCCATGGTAATGGTGGTTATTCACTCACTTCACACCATCTCTGGTGGCTGGGCCATCAGCTGCTATGTCACTAATCTCCGGAACTCCCTTCCCTCCTCCGTCTCATCCCACCTCTATTGAGGCGATTGAGTGCGTGAGTTGACAATCTAGAGAGCCAGCTGTTTCCTTGGCAGTCTTCGCAGTTAAAATAGAAATATTTGAGAATGGGTTTCAAGGGATTAGGTGATAAATTCAGTGGATCCAATTGAAGGTTAGGCTGTAAAATCTCCTGGTTTAGCTGCAAATTATAAATCATAGATTGCAACCTCTCAACAACAATAAATTACATTTATATAGTGTCCTTAATGCAGGCAACCTGACTCCGGGGGTGGTGGGGGAGGTGGGGAGAGGAGGTGATCGTCAAGCACGGTCGATTGAGGAAGGTCTTCAGCGAGATCTGAAAATGGGGAAGGCAGAGGCAAGGCAGAGGGATTGAGGGGCAAGCAGGAGGCCCGAGTCTGCCGATAGGAGGCAATGGGTTGAGGAGTAAGCAGGTCAGAGAGATAGGGAGCTGCTAGGCCTGGAGGGATTTGTAGACGGGTGAGAGGATCTTAAAGGCGATCCGTTTTGTAATAGGGAGCCAGTGGAGCCTGGCGAGGTCTGGTGTGATAGGGGTACAGAGTTTAGAGCAGGTGAGTATCCGGGTGGCGGAGTTTTGAGTTAGTGCAGCTGGGAAGGCTGGCGAGGAGGGCGTTATAGTCAAGGTGGGAGTTATAGTCGAGATGGGAGGTGGCAAAACCTTGCCCAGGGTGTGGGTTGGATGTAAGGTACAGTCAGAGGCCGGCAATGTGGCGGAGGTTAAGGAAAGCTGTCCTGGTCAGGGACCAAATGTGGGATAGGAAAGACAGCCGGGGATCGAACCTGACACCTGGTTACACACAGGTTCAAGTGATTTACAGCCTTACATTTATAAAGTGCCTTTCACAACGGGAGGACGTCCCAAAGTGCTTCACAAGTGCTGGCTGGAAATCCGAGCTGGAGGTGGGAGCCGAGAGAGGTGGGGAGGGGAAAGATGAAGCAAAGTCAGTCAGGTAGGTCTTGAGACGAACCTTGACCAAGGTGAAAGGGAGCGAATCAGAGGGACTACCAAGGTGGAGTTCCAGACAGCGGGAGTAGAATGGCTGAAAGCCCGCCACTAATGTGCAGGGATCGTGATGCAGGCCTGTGCAATGCATTTGTCAGGTGCACCAGTTTGTATAATGCAAATGTCAAGTGGTTATGACCTGGGAGTACAGGTAAAGAGAGGAAGGAGACTGATTGTTCTGATGTTTGTTTTGCTGCGGGTGTGAAGCTGTTGATTCCTGTTGTTTCTTGCTGTGCAGTTCCTCGAGCGCTGGGCATGAATGTGTTTGTAACGATTGAAGGCCTCTCGGGGATGTACAAGCTGCCAATCGCGCCCCTGATCACAGGATCCCATCCCACAGACAACAAAGGGTGAGGAAACTTGCTTCCAGTCAGTCAATGGGACTGTTGCTCAGGTTATAACAACAAATTACATTTGCATAACTCCTTTTGGTCAGGAGGACGTCCCAATGCGCTGGACAGTCAGTGATCTGCTCCCAAGCTGGTGGTTGGGATCAGGAGGGGTGGAGGGCGGGGAAGGTAGGGGTAAGAAGGTGACCGAAGGCACGGCTGAAGGGGAGGGTCTTGAGAAGGGTCTTGAAGGAGGCAAGGAACGGGGCGAGGCATAGGGACTGTAGGATGTAGTTCCAGAGAATGGGTGCAGAGAGGCTGAAGGCTCGGCCATCAATGGTGGGGCAAGCAAGGCGGCGGACGTGAAGCAGGCCGGTGCCCGCTGAGCAGAGGGCACAGACAAGTTGGTAGGGGGTTAGGAGGTCAAGGAGGTTGGGAGGAGCAAGGCCACGGAGGGAATTGAAGGTGAGGACCAGGATCTTGAACTTTATCCTCTGAGTGATGGAAAGCCAGTGGAGCTCAGTGAAGATGGGGATAGGAGCCTGGTGTGCGAGAGGACACGGGCTGCAAAGTTCTGGATGATCTGCAGCCTGTGGAGGGAGGAGTTGGGGAGGCTGACAAACGGAGTTCGCGTAGTCAAGCGTGGATGTAATGAATGCATGGATGAGGGTCTTGGCAGCCTGTGGTGAGAGACAGTGGCAGAGACGGACAATGTTGCGGAGGTGGGGAAAAGTGGAGCGAGTCATGGCACCGATGTGGGGGGTGAAGGACAGTTGAGGGTCGAACAGGACACCGAGGTTCTGCATTGGCTCCGTGAGGTGGAGAATGCATCCATGAAGGGTGATGCTGTCAGTGCCCTTGGGCAAATGTTATACCACTGCAATTATAGCATTGCAAATGTTCAATAACAGGAAAGTTGTCTGTCTTATGCCTCCAAAATCTCTTTGCTGACTCATTGAAGCAGCTGATGCAAGCGAGAACTTTTAAGATGTCCATTCACACAAGCCATTTGCAGAGCCTCCACCAAGAGAGTCCCGGAGGAACCACCTCATACGGTCCCAGCAGCCATGTTCCAGTGTGAATCGCTGGGATAACTGCTGGAATACTTGGGTATATTGCTAATTCGCCATTTGCTGCAGGGGCAGGGAATGCTTGTGATCAGCTTCTGCCGGCTTCCACACTATTCACCTGCAGGGAGCGAGAACAACCAGCCAGCTCCCAACCCTGCAACTCACCACCAGTCAAAGTAGCTTGTGCCTCAGTGCGCTGATAGTGTAATAAACCAGGTGGCCCCACTAGCTCTCAGCAGAAGCTCTTTAAATGTGAGTCAGCAGCTGTAAAACGTTTGTCTCAAAATTTAATCTTTTATAAAAGTGTCCAAGGTTCCCGTTTTGTACTGGAGGTACTTTAGCCTGGCATCAATCTTAATCTGTGTGTCTCTATGCTTCTAATAATAATCCCTCCAAAACCAAAAACAATAATAAATTGGTCATTTTCAATCTACGACTGTTTGTGGGACATTGCTGTGCGCAATTGGCTGCCGCGTTCGCCCACAAATATACAGTCAATTCACTTTACAGTGTGTTCTGTGAAGCGCTTTGGGACGTCCTCCTGACGTGAAAAGCGCTATATCAAATGCAAGGATTATTATTATTATTATTGTTAGTTTGTCAGACATCAAGCAATCAATGTAGTTTTAGCTGGTTAAACTCCGGCAGCCACCCCAATGCATTCTCTAGGGTCACCAAGCCTTGGCTATCCCCAACCTGAACCTAATACCCTTAGTTGCGGGTTGTGTATCTGGGGAGAAAGTGAGCATTCCATATGGAAATTTCCCACGTGTGGATGGCATGCGTGGAACTCTATTGGTTTGGATACTTTGAAGCATGGTAATGGAATCTGGTCATAGGTGTCAGAATCTGACATTTGTTAGCTTAAGAGCTCTGAAGTCCTTCGAGCTCCTTTGATGTGATTTCTTGTCGGCCAGATAGCTAAACGTGACCAATGACAATAATGTCTCCTCTTTCTCCTCCAGCACGCCTTCCTTCTCTTCCGTGACCAATACCAACAGTGTGGACCTGCCAGCAAGCTTCTTCCTCAAATTCCCACGCCCGATTCCCGTATCGGCTTCCGTCATTCAGAAAATTCAGAAATTCTTAGGTTTGTTCAGACGGACGTTGATTATTGTTCATTATAAACCAAGCGACGTTTGGCATCATTACTGTGCGCAATTGGCTGCCGCCTTTCGCCAACAAAATGCACGGTCGATTCACTTTACAATGTATTCTGTGAAACGCTTTGAGACGTCTCGAAAACATAAGTCGCTATATCAAATGCAAGGATTATTATTGTCAGGCGAGTCAGAAAGTACAAGTTAAACTGAACTTAAAAGTGCTTTGTTCATGCTCCCTGGGTAAATGAACAGGATTGAATAAATGTGGTTTACACTACTTTCTGGCGTGTTACAATTCAGGAGCTGGTTTTCATCAAATGTTTCATCGTTAAGTGTGTGTTTTTGTAGTGTTGTCCTCTGAAATGTCCTGAACGAGGAGCCTACCAATGTTGATCAGAAATGGAGTGCTGGTCTGTTGTTCGTGCTCTCAGCGGCTTTAGGATCATTGTACTTTCAAACAATAGCAGGAAGTTGAGTGTTGAGCAAGTTTTTCCTACAATAGATTTATGCTCCCCAGTGGTAGGAGTTAGTACTGCAAGAGAGCCAGTCAGTATCAGTTGCTAGTACTTTATTGCAGTGTTCAACAACAACAAAATTACATTTGTATAGCACCTTTCACGTCGGGAGGACGTCCCAAGGTGCTGGACAGTCAATGTTTCAGATCCGAGCTGTGGGTCAGGATTTGGGAGGGTGGAGGGCAGGGGAGAAGCAGGAAGATCGAAAGCACGGTTAAAGAAGAGGGTCTTGAGATGGGTCTTGAAGGAGGCAAGGGAGGGGGCGAGAGGGAGGGACTGTGAGATAGAGAATTCCAGAGGGTAGGGGCAGAGTGGCAGAAGGCCCGCCCGCCAATGGTGGGGTGGGCGAGGCAGGGGACGTGAAGCAATCCAGAGCTCGCCGAGTGGAGGGAGCGGGCAGGATGGTTGGGGGTTAGGCGGTCACAGAGGTAGGGAGGAGCAAGGCCATGGAGGGCTTTGAAGGTGAAGACCAGGATCTTGAACTATATCCTCTAAGTGATGGGGAGCCAGTGGAGTCGGGTGAGGATGGGGATGATAGGGTCACGGAGCCTGGTGCGGGAGAGGGCTGCAGAGTTCTGGATAATCTGTAGCCTGTGGAGGGAGGAGTTGGGGCAGCCGACAAGCAAAGAGTTTGCATAGTCAAGCCTTGATGTTATGAGGGTATCGCCGGCCTGCGGTGTGAGAGAGTGGCGGAGCCGAGTGATGTTGTGGAGGTGGGGGAAGGCAGAGTAGGTCGTAGCACAGATGTGGGGTAGAAAGGATAGTTGAAGATCAAACAAGACGCCAAGGTTCCGGACTGGCTCAGCGAGGTGGAGTGTGCATCCATTGATGGCGGTGCTGTCAGCGCCTGAGGTGTGGAGGCGTTGATGGGAGCCAATCAGAAGGGCCTCGGTCTTGTTGACATTCAACTGAAGAAAGTTAGCTCTCATCCAGGTGCGGGGGCTAGAGGAGAAACTGTTTGTGGAAATGAAGTGGAGGAGGTGTGAGAGGTACGATCTGAACCAGTCAAGGACAGAACAGTGAAGGTTGAGGTGAGAGGAGAGATAGTGGATGAGGGTAGAGTGGTCAACGGTGTTGAAGGCAGCAGAGAGGTCAAGGAGGTAGAGGGAGCCCTGGTCGTAGATGGACAGAATGTCATTTGTCACTTTGACCAGAACTGCTTCTGTGCTGTGGGCGGCACGGAAACCCGATTGGAGGGGATCATGAAGGGAGTGGCAGGAGAGGAAGGAGCGAAGCTGGGAAGCAATGACTCGTTCCTGGACCTTGGAGAGGAAAGCGAGGTTGGAGATTGACAATCTATTAGCGGAAATGAAGCTTGGCACAGTGTCACAAAGAGCGTCACGGGATATTGATTGAAAATTTTGTAGACAAGGCTCGCTTCTCTTCAAACAGTGCCATGAGTTCTTTTGTGGTCTCATTCTGAGGGACGGCACCTCCGACAAAGCAGCGCCCCTGGCAAAGCACTTATACTTACTGAGGATGATGAGAATAGGGGAGATCGAGCAAGAAGTTGAAAGAGTTTTGATGTGACCTAAGGTGCAGGTGAAGAGTTAGACTTTATAGGAGACTCAGGAAAGCACAGTGAGGAATAGTGAGGTGTGGAGGTGTAGTGCATGGACACTGCAGAGTATAAAGGTATTGGGACTGTGTGGCCGTTGGAGTGGAGGAAGTGGAGCACAAGCAGTAATCTGGAGTTGGAATTTGATCTGTGTTACAGTGTCCTGGTTCGGGTGTGTCTGATTGTGCTGATGAGCCATTTTCACTGTCCCGGTGGTGATGCTTGTCCATATTTCTATTTTGCTGTTTTTGTCTTGCACAGGAATACAGCTAATCGACCCTCCTCCGAGCCCAGTTCCCCTGTACCAGCTGATCACGCAGTTCGTTCTCTCAGGGACAGAGGGTGACTCCTCTGCCGTGAAGCACAACATGCGCTTTTACGCGGTGAGTGACGTGGTTGATAAAATAGCTGCTATCCTCCCCGTTTGCCTAAATTTATTGTGTCCGGTTGATCATTGCCATAATAAATGTTCAAAGTGTTGTTTTAAAACAACAATAGGCGACATTCGACAGCATGGAGTGTAAAACTCATGTGGGTCCATCACCAGCTCCTTCCCACAGGCTGCGAATAAAGGAATATCCACAGCGTGGAGCTCAGCTTCAGGCCACTTGTGACTACTTTCCACTATTCAGCTGTTGATTTCTGTTTTACATTGTTTGACGGAGGTCGGGGAGGACAGGGGGGTAAGAAGGAAGGGGATAAACCCAGATCTCTGCTTCCAATCATACAATACAGTTTATTTTTATATAGAGCCCCCACAGAGGCTTCTGTTAATAATTTAGTCTTATGCACTTGTTCAGCTGCTTGAAAGAGTTATAAACCTAAGTCTGACTGACCCCAGTGTTCTCTCCAGTCTCTGCCAGGCCAGCAGCATTGCTACTTTCTGAACAAGGATGCCCCGATCCACAATGGCAGGTGCCTCCAGGGGACTCTGCTTCACAAAATCCCCTTCAGGCATCCAGGGCAGGTGCCACAGATTCTGGAGCTGATCCGGCCTCAGGTGGTCTACAACACGCTGATCGGGAGCTGTGTGAAACGCACTGTGTTGAAGGAAGGTGGGTGGCTCTGGTTTGCGCTACCGCCCTTTCTCCATGGTTCGTGTCAAGCTATGCCATTGTTAAGTCCTGCGAGACACCACCCCTCCTGAAGGGCGCTGTGCCAGTGCAAGTTGTTGTTGTGTTGTGGAATCCATTTGCTAAGGGCAGCTGTTGGCAGGTCAACTGCTTTCACAGTTCTGAGCCCCTTTCGCTGCAACAGCAGTGAGTGATTGTAACCTGATTGTTAGTCGATTGGCAGATCATTTTGCGGGTAATAATTCCTCAAAAAAAAAATTTGGTCACTCGAATTTCGCCCACAAAAAAAGACAGTCAATTCACTTTACAGTGTATTCTGTGAAGCACTTTGAGACGCCTCAACAATGTGATAAGCCGCTATATCAAATGCAAGAATTATTATAATAGGGGAAAGTAGTATTTTGATAGACTTTAATGTTAAAGCTTCCAGAAGAGATCAAATACTGTTGCTGCAGAATAATCCTCTCACCTGCCCGCCCACATTGCTTCGGTTCAGTGGGCTTTAATAAGGCCAAAGGATATTTAAATGAGAGATATTTCAATTGCTATTTTTAAACCTATGCTCAACAAATTTGATTCTCGGTGAAGTTTACTGTTACCGCAAAACTGGGCTCTGTCCAGAAATCACAAGTGTATTCAGAATGTAAATTCACCTGCAGTTTGGGGTAACAAAATATATTTTTAGTGTGGAATCAACACTGCTTTGTTCAATGTTGTATCATTTTTCAACTATCTAATAACTAAAGGTCTCAGATTGGATCCGTAATGACTTCGATTTTTGTTACACAGTAAAACTAAGTCTTATTTCTATAAATCGCCCAAGTTGTACATTAACCCGAGTCCCATTCAGTTTCCTATCAAAACCACTTAGATTTATTTGAACTAATTGTATTAATCGCCTCCTAACTCGTCACTCCGCTCCCCTCCCTTCGCATAAGTCATATTAAATGTTATGTCCCGAATGATACAAATTATCTGATTTTTACTGTATAAGTTTCATTCACTGTGAATTATGTGCTCATTAGGTTAGGGTGTAGTAGTGTTACAGAACTTGGACAATACTACGTTCTGGCCACTCAGTCTCACATAATCCCTGTACTCTCCCGTCCCCCATTGCTGCAAAAAAAACAACATGCTTTACCTCTGCCCTCGGAAACATTTCCCAATGAATGTTCCATTTCCCCCACTTGTCATCCTTGGCCATCTCCTGCCTCCCATCAACCACCAAACCTGAGCTTCCCCTCCGTCTCTGTAAAGTGGTTTATGGCCTCCTCCCAGATGAAAGGTTCTGTCTGGTGCCAGTTGCTGTTGCACTTTTGTGGTGATCGATAGTAGAATGGTAAAATCATTCTGTAAATTGGGTGCAGTGTGCACTATCTAGTACTTTGCTGTGTACAGTGTGCCAGCACCTTGGGCCATTCTCCTGACGTGAAAGGCGCAATGCAAATGTAATTTGTTGTTGTTGCTTCTCATCTGTGTGCAATACTTCTGATTACAGATTTGCCTGGACTTCTGCAGTTTGAGGTGTGCCCACTGACAGACACCAGCTTCAGTGTGTCCTTCCAGCACCCAGTCAATGACTCCCTTGTGTGTGGTATGCTAATGTCCTACCTCTAATCTTCCTCTACAGCCCTTTGATAGCCATTTTATAGCAGCTAAGATCATTTCCATAGAATATTAATTATTGGGATCAGTGCTATGAGATGCTACCCTGAGTGAAGGGGGCTATATGAATGCAAGTTGTTGTGGAATATCCACAGTTAATATTATTAAAGTTGAAATTTACTCTTTCAGTTGGTTCCAGATACAGGTTACAAACAACCTAACCTGGCTGAGGTTAGCCTAACACGGACACTCACTTCAGGCACTGACTATTCACCTTTCAATGCTAAAAAAAAAAGGCCGACTTCTGCATTGTCAGGTTCCTGTGATGTCACTTCATGCATGTGTGCACAACAGTAAATGTTTTTGATGTTATTTCCTGTGTGCTGCACATGCTCGCTAAGCGCAGGAAATGTTGTAGCATCACAGGAAAGTGATGTCGGTAGTGACATGATGACCCAGAATGTGGCTACTTTGAAGGTTTGCTTACTATGCGGCTTCTAGTTATTGGAACCAGGCGTCTGCATTCTGATTGGGTTGCCTTGTCTGCTCACAATTATTGACAACCCGTTTCAGATTTAATTATTTTTTTCACAGTGTTCACAATACCCTAAAATAAATTCAGTATTTCCCAAATAAAAAGTATTCTGCATATCCCTGCTCTCCACCATTGGCGGCCATGCTTTCAGTCACTATGCTCCGAAGCTCTGGAACTCCTTGCCTAATTACTCCGTCTTGCCCCCTCTTTGCCTGACTTCAAATCACACCTGAAGACTTTCATTTTGACCTTTGGTCACCTCCCCTCTCTTCCCACCTCAAACCACACCACTGTTAAGTGTTCCAAGACACTATTCATGTGAAAGCTGTATAAATGCAAGTCGTAGAAAGAAGAAGTTTTCTGGCTATTGATTCTTCTCTTTGTTGATTATTTTGAAATGTCTTATTTTGAAGCAATCATTAGGATATTTTCAAAAGCGCTATCATTGGGTCCTGTTAATTATACTTTCTTGTGCCAGTTCTGAGTTTCAGCTTCCAATGTTCTTTCTCTCACCAGTTGTGATAGACGTGCTGGACTCCAGGCAGCTGAGCTGCAAGCTGTATAAGGGACTTTCTGATGCCCTCATTTGCACTGATGACTTCATTACCAGAGTGGTGCAGAGGTAAGAGCCTTTTCTGGATTGAAGCTTTCTTATATTTCTATTGGCTTCAATGATCGCTTAACCAAGCCTGCATTACTTAGCTCGAAAATTGTTCTCTGCCTGAAAGGAGTATCTGTTGTCAGCCGTGACTCCATGCATGCCTAACTCAAACCAGGAGTAAAAACGCTCAGCTGTTCGGTTGTCTTAAGCATCGCAATGAGCTACCAACATATCACTGCAACATTAAAGTGCGCAAATAGGCCAAATAGTTCTGCTACACAGACAATGTCTCATTTTTATTCACTTCAGCTTTTCTGATGAGCTTTTCTTTGACTGAAGCAAAAAAAAAGTGAAGCTTTTGGCAGCTAAGCCCAGAAAACCAAAATCCATCAGACAGTGTTGAGCTGGGTTTCAGGGTGGCACTGGGACATACATGAAGATGTGCATGTTCAGTATTTCTACTTCACTGAGCTCCAAATAATTAGGAATCAAAACTACTAGTGTCTTTAAATTGCCTTCCCCCGATTCCTTCTTGATGTTTCATTAAAATAATTGGCTACAGGTGCAGTATTGCCAAGTCCTGCGAGATTATTATTAATGGCATTTTTTCTCCCCAAACCTCTAAATCCACTTGGAATTCAGAGTGACTTGGATTCGAGTAAAAACAGTAAATATAACAATAATCTTTCCATTCAATGTAGTGGCTGCAATGTTCAAATGTCTCAAAGCACTTTCCAGATTTGCTGTAAAGTGTAGTGACTGTCGACTTAATAATAATAATAATTCGTAATAATAATTCCTTACATTTGATGTCTCAGCCCCTTTCACATTGGGAGAACTTTGCAAAACACTTCACAGGATATACTGTAAAGTGGAGTGTTGTGTGTGTTTTGTAGGTGAACTCAATAGTCGAGTTGTGCACAACAATGTCCCACAAACAGACATAAAGCAAAAGAACAATTGTATTTGGGAGCTTTTTGGCCGGGAGACCGGGAGAGAGACACTCACTTCTTGGGACGTCCTCCCGACATGAAAGGCGCTCTATAAATGGAATCTTGTTGTTGTTGTTGTTCTATTTTTGAATAGTGCGATGGACTCTTTAGTGTCCATCTGAACAGGGACAAACTGGGTGTAAATGTAGGTGTAAACGACCGCCGGTGAGGCAAATGACTAATTTAACAGGAGGATTATTTAATATTACTGATGCTCAGTGTGCTTCCCAGGTGTATGTCCATCCCGGTGACCATGCGAGCAATCCGCCGAAAGGCTGAGACCATCCAAGCAGACACGCCAGCTTTGCCCCTCATTGCGGAGACTGTTGAAGATATGCTGAAGAAGAACCTGCCTCCAGCCAGCAGTCCTGGCTACAGCTCGCAACTGGGCAACAACCCAGCGAGCGGTACAACCACCCCAACCAGCACTTTCCCAGGGCCCATCTCCACTCTGTTTAGCCTCGGGAATATGGGCATGAAAGAGAGGCAAGAATCGGGACACGGGGAAGATTCCTTTAAAGTAAACCAGAACCCCATACTTACCAGTTTGCTCCAGATTACAGGCAGTGTTGGTTCATCCATTGGTTCAAGCCCCACTCCACCAGGCCATACGCCGCCACCGGTATCCTCCCCTGCCAGCAACACCAAAAACCATCCCATGCTCATGAACTTGCTGAAGGACAACCCCACACAGGATTTCTCTACTCTGTACGGCAGCAGCCCTCTGGAGAGGCAGAATTCATCTTCCAGTTCGCCCAGGATTGACGTGTCGTCAGGCAGCTCCAAACAGAAAAAAAAGCGGACAAGATCACAGACCGATAAACCCAAACAGCAACAGACCGAGGAGGACTTTCAGAGAGAACTTATCTCAATGGACTTTGATGCACCCAACAGTGTCTTTGACGTAAACCTCACTGGGGACACTTTGGACACCCCTCACATTACCCCAGCCCCCAGTCAATGTAATACGCCTCCAACCACCTACCCGCCGGCAGCTGTGCACTGTCAGCAATCCAACATGCAGAGGATGGTGCGGCTGTCCAGCTCCGACAGCATTGGAGCTGACGTCACAGAGATTTTGTCTGACATAGCAGAGCAAACGGCAAAGTTGACCAACGCAGGCGATAATTGTCCTTCCATCGGGACACCCGTTCGGGATTCATCAAGTTCCTCTCATTCGGTTGTGAACAGTACATTCGATCCAGATGTGTTTCAGGCTGGGAGCAATGAGAACACTTACACTGACCCTGCTGACCTGATAGCTGACGCTACTGCTACTCCAACCAGCGACTCCTCAAATCAGTTCTTTCCTGATGGAGTTGATTTTTTGTTGGATAACCCGAGCGGGAGCAACTTTGTGAGTGGATATTTCGATGAGAACAGTCAGGGTGGAGATGTTGACGACATTAAGGGCTTTTCCTCACAGTCGTTTGGGTCGTTGGGTGTAGAAACCGCCGATAGCAGGTTGAAGGGAAGCAACCATCCTGACACTGTGGATTTCAGCATGTTTACCAGTGGCAGTAAGTCCTTAGGAGCTTCTGACGGGATGGAACACAGTGGGAGTCAGAGCCCTTTGCTGAGCACAGTGGAAGTTGGGAAAGTGGATAAACCTCAAAAGCAGCGATCCAGTAAGGAAGGTAATGGCAGTGGAAGCACCATCTTGATGCCAGAGCTTACCCAGGGGAGAGTGGCAGCCATGTCAGGAATGGCTCAGGAAGGAAAACCGGTCAAACGACTCAGGACGCCATCGAGTGATGGGAAGAACAAAGAGAAGCCTCCAAAGCGTAAGAAAACGGACTCGGAGAACAAGTCACCATCTCACAGTATATCCAACCGGCCTTTCACTCCCCCCGCTAGCACCACAGGCTCCAAATCTCCCGGGAGCTCTGGCAGGTCACAGACCCCGCCCGGTGGGGCCACCCCACCCATCCCAAAGATCACAATTCAGATCCCAAAAGGCATCGTGGGGAAGTCGTCTTCACATAGTCAGTTTGGGCCGGGCCCCTCATCCAGCAGCAAGAGCCACCACTCTCACTCCTCCAGTTCCTCGTCCTCCAGCAAAGTGAAGAGCAACAAGTTGGAAAGCTCCTGCGGTTCTAAAATGAGCAGCGCCGGAGCTTACCCAGGGCAAAGCGGCAGCAGTTCTGGCCAGTCTAAGAGCTCCTCGCAGTCCTTGGGGAAAGCCAGCTCTTCTCCAGTCACTAAGCACGGCCTGAGCAGCAGTGGCAGCTTAAGCTCCAGCAACAGTGGAAGCAACAAGCTGAAACCTCAAACCAAATCGTCCTCTTCCCTGGCCAATCCTTCTGGGGGAAAGCCCAATGTCTCTCCTTCCCACTCCAGGCCTTCCAGCAACTCTGACAAACTCGTGTCACCTATGAAGCCCATTCCCGGAGCGCCAGCTACGAAGGCCAAGTCTCCAATCAGCTCTGGTTCAGGAGGTTCTCACATGTCAGGATCAAGTTCTGGTTCTAACCTGAAGCAAGCCTCTGGCATGGTGTCTTCTGGCTCCCTGAGCCAGAAACCTCCAGCCTCCTCTTCTTCCTCATCTTCATCCTCCACTTCCTCAATGTCTTCATCTCAAAATGCACACGGCAACTTAATCAAAGGAAAGTCTCCGAGTCGAACCAAGAAGCCTTCTTTGACAGCAGTGATTGACAAGCTGAAGCATGGCGTGGGTGGGGTTGGGGGGGTGCCGGGCAGTGAAGACCCTGCAGATGGTCAAATGACACCCGGGGCCCCACCTTCCACTCATAGCATGCCATCCAAGCACAACATGTCCCCTGCGGAGTACCAGGGCAAGCGGGAGAAGAGCGACAAGGAAAGCAAGTCCAAGGTCTCTGTCTCAGGTAGCTCAGGGGACAGCGGGAAGAAATCTGACTCCAAGAATGGCGGTGGTACTGGGGTGGCTAAGATTATCATCAGCAAGCACGACGGTGGCTCTCCAAGCATCAAGGCCAAGGTAACCTTACAGAAGCCTTGTGATAGCAGCGGGGACGGTCTGAGGCCGCAGATACCCGGGGCAAAGAACTACGGCTCCCCTTTGTTCAGTGGGTCAACGCCAAAGCACGAACGCTGTTCACCAAGTTACAGCAAGTCCCCGGCCTACACCCCCCAGGGGAACGACAGCGGCAGCGAATCGGGATCGTCGTTTGCTGAAAAGTCTCACCAGAACAGTCCGAGCTCAGACGATGACATCCGGCCGCTCCCTGAGTACAGCTTAGAGAAGCACAAAAAGCACAAGAAGGAAAAGAAGAAAGGGAAAGACAGGGACAGGGACCGGGACAGGGACCGGGAGAAGAAAAAGTCCCACTCCAGCATCAAACCCGAAAGCTGGTCCAAGTCTCCGATTTCCTCGGAACAGTCCTTGTCTCTGGCGGGGAGCACTGGCCTCAGCTCTGAAAGGCCATCTCGCTCTAGTCCAACGTTTCTGCTCGGTGACGACGATGATCTGATGAACGTGGCGCTGATTGGCAACTAGAATAGAAGGTCGTCGTTCAGGCTTTAAAAGCTGGACAGTGAATGGCACAACCATAGTATTGTTTTAATCCGATATGCGAGGAGCTTGGCTTTAAGCTGGGCACTCTCCCTGATTTTTTTTGGCATCTGTCCCAAATCTGCCAGATTTTCAGTGTAAAGTCTTCAAGTGTTATTGTTCAGCGTTAGAACTTTACGTCTCCTGCAGTGTACTTGAAGAGGAAGCAACCTTTGCCATTTTTGAGGCGTGGGGGCATCTTTACGGCTTGGATCAGATTTTACCCATCTTTTTCTTGTCTTCCCTTAATACCAATGGTTTAAAGTGTTGATGGAGAGCGATTGGGAGAGTCGAGTTCTGAGGATCCCCCCACTTCCCCTCTCCCAATATGACGTTGAACCCAGAAAAGTTTATCACAGCTTTTGGAGCTCCTAAGCCCAGCAACTATCCTACCCAACAGTGTAGCGTGATCTTAATGTTGTATATCGCATGTTTGGAGCTATCTTTTACAAGAATCGAAATTTTATTTTTAATGACTGCTGAAAGAAGTTATAAATCAAAAAGGTGCAGTGTTTTTATAGAGCTAAGGCTGTGTGCGTGCAACCCTTTCTTTCCTCCCCCACCACCCCTCCCTTTTACCACATGCGCAAAATATAATTATTTAACACTTTGCAGGGCTCAAATTATTTTACAGAAGAAAGCTTTAATCAGTTTTTAATGTGCTTAATTTTTTAACTATTTATTCTTCTAAAATTCAGAGTTGTTGAATTTTTGCTTGGAGAAGTTATTTTATCAGCTTCAGAAGCTTTGCGTAATCTAGTTTAAATTCCAAACTGCTTCAGTTATCCAAAAAAACGGTGTTGCTTTGATTACTTTGAATCCATAGGCTGTAGAAATGTTCCCAACTAAACTAACCCAAGTTCTGCTGTGTGTTGAGAATGTGAATGAATAAGCTGTAGTATCACTCTGGTGCCGATGTTTTGTTTTTCTTTCTAAAGAATATTTCTCATATTTCCTTGTGTTTCCTTTGGCGATTTAGTGAAATGTAAAAAGCTTGTCCCCATTGTGGGTGACCGGGGAATATCTGTGCAAGTAACTGGAAACATTCCACCCAGTATCCAAGCGTATAGTTGATCAAACCTCCTGAGTGATCTCCCAGTCAACTCGAGTGTTTTGTCCAGATATAGCAATTGTAACATGCAGTGTTGTCTCTTCACACAGGTTTCAGATTGGCAAAAGATTTACAAAGAATTTACAGAGAGAATGTACAGCACAGAAACGGGCCATTTGGCCCACCAGTCTGCGCTCGTGTTCGTGTTCATACTCCACGTGAGTCGCAATCTCTGAGACGTGCTCAGATCACTGACCTTAGGATTGTTTTCCCTTCTCTTCTACCCCCACCACCAATCTAATGGAGAAAAGTCCAAGAATATAGTTTTGACACCTGCTATAAAATGTCCCAGACCTTTGGCAACATCACTCTGTCCTGAAAAAGATAATTGAATCTCTCTCTGGAGCCACTTTGAGTTGGGAATATTTGAGTATATGCAGGAATATTGCAGGGATATTTGCAGCTCCATTGTCTGAGCTAGCCTCAGTCAGTGTTTCATCCTGTGGTAGGTCCAGGCATCCGACGGGCAGGTGATATTGTTAACTAGACGCAGTGTAACTAGATGTGGAAATCTCTTTCTGATGACTCAGCGAATTTACTCAGTGAGTGGTTGAGACATGAGGACTGAAAAGGTTGCAGTTTAGAACCTCGTCTGTGCTGGTAACTGATTTCTGTTTAGGCCACACTAGAGGCTGTACGCAGAACCCCGGTTTAGCAAGGCCAAGTTTAATCCAAGTTCACGCTCCAGATAGATCTCCAGCGACCCGCGTGTGTGGGGACCACCTCATCCACAATGCGAGAGGTACTAGAGAGTGCCTATTGCCATAATCTGTACTCCAATACAAGGAGAGGAGAGGGGAGAAGATTGGAAGCGAATCTTGTCAAGTGGTAATAGACCATGAAGGGACGCAGTATAGTTCTCGTAATCAATGTTAACTCATTTCAGTAATTGCTGTAGATCTCATTTACAAACTGTATTAAACAAATGCAAGAGCGTAACATTATGCACAGGCCCTGCTGCTGCATTTGGTTCCAGAGTCAAGCTGCAGGAAATTCAGAGGCGATTTGTTTCTGAATCCTCGACCTTTGAGTGTCCATAATGGTGGGGAGAGCGGAAGATGGTTTATTTTCTTCTTGATGCGTTGCATTGTTGCCCATTTTGGTCAAAGTGATTAATAAATAAAATTGCCAAATAGTTGTTGGTTCCGGGTTTTCTCACTTGATCAGTAACTGAGATCACCAAGAATAGTAATGCTTACATTTGGATGCAGCACTGTTCACGTCAGGAGGACATCTCAGGATTTACAGTATCTCATATTACACATATACAATAATATAATCCCTTTACGACTTGCCCAATGTATGAGAGCAGCTACCGAATATATTTTTCACTCTCGTGTATTCTATGATTTCATACATATTTGTCCCAAATGTTGCTCATTCTCGCGAGGAACAGACTGCCATCGGTGTTAAATAATAATAATAATCCTTGCATTTGATATAGCACTTTTCACGTCTTCTAGACTTCTCAAAGCGCTTCACAGAATATATTGTAAAGTGATTGACTGTATATTTGGGGGCGAAACGCAGCAGCCAATTGCGCACAGCAGTGTCCCACAAACAGTTATGGATTGAAGTGACTGATTTATTATTTTTTTTTCTTGAGGGATTATTATCGGCCATGTGAAGTAAGGAAACTTGGCCAAGGTTTTGCCCTGCCGGGAATCGATCCCAGGTCTCTAGTTTGCCAGGCGAGCGCTCTAACCACTGAGCTACAGGACTCCAAAGTCCTGTTGATACGTAATTGCAGATCAAAATTTCCCTTCCAGCCACCTGCACCACAGGGTCAGTCAGTGTTTCTGACACAGCTCAGGTGGAGAAGAACAATGCAGCTGTATCCCTCTGTACTTCCTTATTAAAAATCAGATAAAAGATCAGATGTGTTTGTTGGCTTGTGATGCGCAGCTTTGTTCAGGTTTTTTGCGAAAGAAAACTTCTTTTTCTCTCTCTCGTCCTGATACTTGTACGGTTTATTGTTCCAGCTCCTTGGGACGTCCTCCCGATGTGAAGGACGATATACAAATGTAATTTTGTTGTTGTTTCTCTGATGTTCGATTGTTCCATTTGCTTTAAGAGTAATACACTTCCACCTTGGGTTGGTGCTTAGGTGAAGTTAGTTTCACTTCATGACTTGAGTTCGAATCCAGCACAGTCGACATTCCTTACCTTAATAATGGCGGAAAAAATCACCATAGGCGATTGGTTTAGTACTTGGCTCATTCGGTATTTTTAATTATATTCTGCGCCTTCTTTGGTTTCTGAGGAGCAAAATTCAGGGAGGTGTCTAGTCAAAGAATATTGAGGGTTCGATAGAGATCTACTCGTAACCATCAATGGTCAAATACTCATAATGCCTGTTGATTTGGGAGGGGGTGGGAGAGGAGAAGAGAGGAGAATTGAGTGCGGTAGCCCATTCAGCTAATCTGTGGAGATTCTTGAAATGGTGTGTATTAGATTGAATGAATGGTATATTCTAGTTCCTCTGTTCTAACATATTCAAAACGAGTAACACATTCGAGACACCAAAATCTGTGGAAAAGTAGGTAGAATAGAAAAGTACAGATCATTTGTATTTTTAAATTCAGTTGAAAGTCAGGAAACCTGAAGGCAAAATTGGAGAAAATATATTATAGAAAAGTTATGAGGTTTCACTGACATTGCTTTTACCAGAGGAGTGTTACAAGACCAGCGTTGCACTTTGAACCAAGATGTATAAACGCCTTAAAGTCTTAGTTGAGGCGTGCATTGGGTTGTAATTACAAGACTCTTGGTATTGTTTTGCAGGAAGAAATAATTGCTGTAAAACACTTTTTGTAATATCACTTTAATCGAGCGCAGAGCTGAGTGCTTCTCAGCAACATTTGCTGTATGAATCTTGTTCACTGCCTGACCACAGCTAAACTGTAACCATACAGAACCTGTGGACGTGACCGGACCTAAAATGTTGCTGCTGGATTGCTTGATGTTGTACAAATGTGGCATTTTGCTGGCTGCCATTGGGGGTTTATCGCCAGCAACGACACTCTGTGGGGAAGGGATTAGTGGAAGCAAAACATTTGAGAATATTGGCCATTTTATTCTGTTGTAAATGTGGGGAATCTTCAATCTAGCCTTCTGATGATGTTTTGCCTCTGATCCCTACTGAAGCCTAAAGTTGAAGTGCTTTTCTTTTGGAAAGGAATGTGTCCCTATCCAGGTAAGCCTGACAACAATGTACTCATGTATTGTTTGAATATTAATCACGGTGTTACATTTCAAATTTCTTGATGCCTTTGGTATTGTGTCCCTCCTGCCCCAAAGAGGTGCCTGAAACTATGTGGCTTAGGGACCCTTTTGAAAGGTTTGCTATCCAAATATTTTAGAATGCCAATTTTTGACGTAATACCTTTCACCCCAAAATAAAACAAATTGATGTGCCATGTTACAGTGTTTGTTTATTGTTCTAGTTAACTCTGTGTGTGTGTGTATATATATATAATAAAAGGTGAGGTTGATGATTTTCATTTTGTATCATATTTCCCCCAAAACATTGAAATATTTGGTTTTAAAAAAAACTATTTTTATACATATTTTGACATAACGACCTTTTCTCTTGTACAGCCGGCCAACATGCTGAGCACATCAGGACTGCAGTTGCAATTGCCATTTATTTGACATAAAACATATTGTCTTTGTAAACAACAGATTTTATAGAATTTCTCTGTGAACATTAATTTTCCTAACCATTAACATGAAAGGCGGTTGTGAGAATTTACTCCTATTTAAAATTGATAGATTTGTGCTATACTTTTACACAATGTAAATATTTCCTTTCTGTGTTTTGCGCATGAATATAGCAGATGTTACTGTTTCATACCTGGAAATAAAGCATTGAAATTACATCCATTCTGGAATCTGAGCACAGTATTAAGGCGGTGTTTGTTTCTACTGGGATCTGCATGTGATATTTTATGTGCTCTTTGATGTCATTGCATTTTTTGTAGAAAATCTTGGGTTTGGTTCTGTCATTTCTGATACCAATCCTAGGGATTACATCACCCAGGCAGCTCATCCCATTGAACTCATGCCAGTGAACACGTCCACTAAAGCTGCCTCCTCTAACCTCAATTTACTGCTCTTTGCCATTTTCTTTTATATAGATTTTTATCAAATGATTATCCAATTCCCTTTTTATGCATTAGGTTCTTAGCTTCAACAGCCACTTGTGCAAAGTATTCAAATTCCAATATCTCTTTATGTGGAAAGAAAATCAAACCTCCCCTTTAACCCTTCCAGTGACAATCCTGGATCTGTGCGCCAAACCCATTCCATATTTCTCAAACAGAAAGGAATCTCTCAGTGTTAATCCTCTTGACCACACTCGGAAGGATATAGCAGCGATGGAAAAGCCAGGTTTGGCAGGTTACTGCTATTAGGATAGCCTGAATAGGTTGGGCCTTTTTTCGCTAAAGAGGTTTTAAAGGGGGGAACTTAATAGAAGTGTTTAAAATTATAAGAGTTCAATAAAGTTATCGTAAGTGGGCTGCTCCACTGATTGGGGAGTCCATAACCAGGGGACACATATATAAGATAGTGTCGGGGCAGTGTTTCCTGCACATTCATACCATTCGAGGTTAGTCCACGTTCCATTAATAGTTTGTTTCCAGATTTTTCTTGATTAAATATTTCTTGATTTATGGCATAAATATAGAAAAATCAATCAAGAAAATTTGTTGGCCGACCAAAACGATTGGCTATCACTGGACTAGGGGTCAAAACGAGAAGTTAGGAGGAATTACTTCATGCAGAGGGCAGTGAGATTGTGGAACGCGCTGCATGAAGCAGTGGTTGAATCATAGTGTAGATGCATTCAAGAGGAAGCTAGAGCTTGACATGAGAGAGAGGGGAAATAGAAAGCTGTGGGAGGGAATAAAGGAGCGGGTGGAAACCCATGGAGCATGGTTGGGCTGAGTGACCTGTTTTCGTGTCTTTGTAAATCTTTGACAACATTCAGAATGTTGAAGGCTCAATCACTTGAGGAGTTTAATTGCACCTCAAACAAAGGGACAAACAAGTTTTCCATCTTTCTCATTGAGTTGGGCATGAGGGGTCTCCACCCAATTTCTGCTGGTTCTTGGTGGAAAGCATAAAACAACAACAAAATTTTGTTTGTATAGCGCCTTTCACAGCGGGAACTGCATAATGTGCCAGTGCCCAGAGACTCGGAGACTGAGGATGACTGATGCACAAAATGAAAAAGCAACGACAACAAATTATATTTGTACAGCGCCTTTCACGTCGGGAGGATGTCCCAAGGCTCTCCCATTACTTGCTATCAGCAAGAATGCTAATGGCAAGCTATGGAGATTTGGTTGAGGAGAGCAACAGCTATTTGTCTCAGATTATAACCCACGCCTGATGTGACCTCAATTCTGAGACGTTTTATTTAAAAAAAACATTTTCTATAATTACAGCCACGTGCCACACGGCCCTTTATACGTTTCTATGGTTGTCCACACAAGGTTGTGGAGAAAATGAATGTGAGTGACTGAAATGCTTTACTTCCCTCATTGATGCTGACTCCATTCACCTACTCCAGCTCCTTGCTGGCAGGACAATAGCTGGCAACAGCTAAAACTGTGTGCAGTCTTTGTGGTTGGTTGGTTTTAAAGATCATTAGTTGCGGGTGGAATTAATTTGGCCTCCTATCAGTTTNAAAAAAATCCTTTTGAGCATTTGACACAATGCCAATAATGTTTAGCAATCCACAAATATATAATAATATCTTTAAAATAAAATTTATCTAGCAGTAAGTAG